TTACGACCAGTAATTTAAATGCAGCAATTTCTATAAAATCTGTGCTGAGGAACCTCTGAACCGGACGATAAAGATATTGAACCTTTGGGAGAAATGAAAATATCACACCTCCTTAATTAATCCTATTCGACCATTTTAGATCTTAAAAAATATGTTCTAGGCTCAAAAAAAAAAATTTTTGGTCCCTAAACAGACGGCAGCGAAATAACAAAGAGAAAATTATCATACTGCCGCTAAATTTTAAACGAAAATCAAGTATCTGTAACGTATTGTGATAAATTTCAAGAGGAACTTAAGAAAAATGAAAATCTTAAAAATAATTTTATAAAACTTATACTGTGGAACCCCTCTCTGCTGGCGAACTCAGTTTCACAGTAATTTTATAAATACCAAGTAATATGATCAGCTGCACACTTTGACACGTATCCCCTTGCTATGCATCATTTTTTCACAATATTGCGAGGAACATGTTGTACTTTTTGTAGTTCCAGGAGTTTCCAAAGAGTGCACGACAGCTTAAGTAAGATGACACTCCAACGGTTAAATGAATGACGCTTTAAAGAGCTCTTGACCTCTGTAGACTGTCAACTCATTAAGATTCGACTGGCAACATATCCAAGCGAAAAGGTTTTTAATGTATGACAATTCTCAATGTTTCTTGCCAACATTAGGAGTTTTGCAAAGCGGAACCGGTACAAAAATAGTACGTCCTTCACTGGCAGACGTTATATGTATATATAACTTTTTCTGCGCCAAAGATCCTTGACAGTATGAACGTTAAGTGACGAAAAATTGTAGATCGAATCCATAAACAAGCTTAAGTAGGTAGAAGGAATTTCAGAGCTTAATGGCTATTCAAATTTTCAATTTAAAATTTCAAAACTGAAGCAATTAAAACTGAAGTTTTTGTCCTGGCTGTTGCAAATAAGTGCAGAAGAATTTTCAAACAAAAAAGGACAAAAAGGAAAGAAGCAAGGCAACAACAGCTCAGAAAAAAACTCTGCGAATTAATCGATGATCAAATAAATGCTGTAGTGCAAAGACGCTCTCTCCTGAGCGCCTTTGAAAATTCAAATTCAAAACCAAGCTTATCGAATTCAACGTCTGTTTCTGCTGTATCAGAAAAGAGAAAGAAAATAATAATCATTCGACCTTCAATACAAAAAAAACTGTACTGCTTTTTCCGTTCATCGTTTTCATAGTTCAATATATTTATAAATTA